AGGGGCTACAGGCACACACTACCATATCTGGTTAAGTATTTGTTTATATACTCAAACCAAGAATTATCTAGAATTTTAAAAATCTATCCACATGTTTAGATTTTTTTTTTTTTTTTTTTTTTTAGTTTTAATATATTATGGTCAAATAACATGTCCTACAAGAACTCTTTTCCTTTTGGAATTTAGTAACATTTGTCACTTAGCCAGTTTTCCTAAATGTCCTTTAGGCATTTAAAAACAATGTGTAAAGTACAAAGTTTTAAATATATTTGTGTAGAATGTAAGATTCTAAATCTATCACATTAAAATTATCAATAATAATATGTGGGTTGTTTCTATTCTTGTTAGTTTTTTCTCCACTTGATAAAATAAAAAATAGGCTGGGCACCGTGGCTCACGCCTATAATTCCAGCACTTTGGGAGGCTGGAGGGGGGCAAGAATTCTGGGCTTAAGCCCAGAATTTCGAGACCAGCCTGTGCAACATGGTGAAACCCCATCTCTACAAAAAAACACAAAAATTAGTCAGGTGTGGTGGCGCATGTCTGAGGTCCTAGCTACTCGGGGGACTGAGGTGGGAAGATTGCTTGGGCCAGGGAGGTTGAGGATTCAGTAAGCCGTGTTTATGCCACTACACTCCAGCCTGGGTGACAGAGTGAGATCCTGTCTCAAAGAGATAAATAATAAAAATGGAATAAAAATAGACTATTAGCTCTTTATAGGTGCACATGAAAAGATGCCCCTAATATATTATCAATTGAAAAATTTATAAAATAGTGGTTACATCATGCCCTGATTTTTTTGTTTTGAAGGATTATAAATGTGTGTATATAGAAAATAGTCGGGCTGGGCTGGGCTGGGCGCGGTGGCTTATGTTTGTAATCCCAGCAATTTGGGAGGCCGAGGTGGGCGGATCACCTAAGGTCGGGAGTTTGAGACCAGCCTGACCAACATGGAGAAACCCTCTCTCTACTAAAAATACAAAATTAGCTGGACATGGTGGTGCATGCCTGTAATTGAGCTGAGATCACGCCATTGCACTCCAGTCTGGGCAACAAGAGCGAAACTCTGTCTCAAAAAAAAAAAAAAAAAAAAAAAGAATAATTTGAGTATATGAATCAAGAAGCTTAAACATGGTTGTATATTTTGTCTCAGTAATTTCATCCCTAAAAT